GGGACTAGTGTTAACCTTCTTGGTCACGTTGGTCTTCGTGTACGGTCTAACGACCACCCGGGGTTCCATAGGCGACGCGTTGTTCACAGTATTCTCCGTTGTGCTAGACCAGTCTCAACATGACCCAGGGACTGAAGCGGGAAAACTGATACCGAATATGGTCACGATTATGATCACTTCATGGACTTTGACTTTGTCCATAATTTCGTGCTGTTATAAAGGTGATCTCCTGTCATACTTTGTCCTAGAAACGTTGCCAAGTGTGCCTGACACTATTGTAGACTTGGTCAAGTCAGATATCCTGATCACGACAAATATCCAGTATCGTGGATACGATACGAAGTTCCGCTCATCTCTGAAACTAATGCTAAGTCATCTTTCCCAAGGAGACGATTCGCATGCCAAATTCTACGCTAGATTCTCACAGAAGACGACACTTATTACTGGCAAGCCGGAACTAGTTGTGATGAATATAAGTCAGAACAAAGCCGTAGCCACGGATCGCGGAATGATCAAGTTACCCCAAACATTTGCCACCGTGAATCCGAAAGTGGATTCTGACAAGATGAAAGTACTTGTGGCGCAACAGACAAAATATTTTATTCAAGAAAAGAAAAGAGTTGGAGAAAACCCGTTGGTGACTAGGTCAGTTTGGTTCGTGGATAATAACGAGTATGCCGGAATGATAAAAATTGGTGTTGCTAGGTTGTGTGAAAGCGGGATTTATGCACATTGGATGAGAAATTATCATATGCACCATACACTAATGCTTTTACGGTGGGGCGACACAGAAATTAAGAAACGGCGGCCAACTTTGAATTACTATGGTATTTTGGTAATGACCGGGGCAGATATGATTAACAACAATTTGTTTGACAGTGCCTTTGAACCTGTGGCGTTGGATAATTTGAAACTTTGCTTTATTTTGTATTTTGCGGGTTTTCTAATAGGGTTAGTTTGCTGGGTTAATGAGTTTAAAGAAATATTAGTGAGACGAAGGAGGAATGCTGTCTTTGAATTTAAAAATTTGCCGTAGGATCACCAAGGGTGTTCGGCTATGTTGTACATTTTATTATAATGGAAAATAAGAATTTATATAGCTATTGACAAGTACATGTATGTGTAATATATCTCTAGCGTCAAATGTTGTCCAGTATCTATTACTCAAGATTGTCATAAGTTTGTTTAGTCTGCTCGGGCCAGACTGGTCCTACCAATTAGGCTATGATAGATTATCCTACTTTATTATGCATCAAGTATGTAAACTTCATATTAAAAAGTTAAAATTGAATAACCAAACACGAAGGTTACGAAATTGTTAAAATGCAATTACAAATATTTAGTAAAACAAAGAAAGTGGATATTACTAAGACCATCAATTAAGCAATCTATTCAAAGTAAATTAAGCAAAACAAAATAATGATGGCCATCCGCTCACCTGTTTATCATTATGTATAATTTTTTTAATAAACTTCCTCATAGAGGACAATTATGTTTTATTCACGAACTTCTTAAACAGGGAGATTTCCTCATAATTATTCTAGACACGAACTACGATATCCAGTGGATATTATAAACTGTCCTCAGTATCCACAAGTCAAAGTAGGTCGCCTAGTTAAATGATGCATATACCTAGAGAGCACACTATGTCTGTAATTTGTGTTGCTCATTACCTAAACTATATACACTGTGACTATGTATGTAGTTGTATTTTACAATAATAAATTTCCTACAATATACCTATTTTAGTTTCAAAATGTGTAATACCTTCCAACCAACGAATTATGTTCGAATAAATAAAAGTTATTTAAATTATTAACAACTTTCGCTTTAACTATACACAAATTGGTTTAATAATGTGTACTAATTTATTTATCAAAAATCACTCGATAGAGAATATTCACATAGTAACCAGGAGAAACGAAACCGTTTGTCTCAAACAGAACTCCTGCACCACCAAGGGTGTCAATGCGTCCACGAAATTGTTGCCAAATTCCAGCTTCAAGGGAGCCAAGGACTTCAGAACTTTCCTCTCCAACTTTCTCTCCATCCTCCACCTATATCTTGAAAGCCAATTCCTGCTCAGATTATTGATTTTTGCCGCCACAGAGAAAATAATCACCGTAAAGATAAGCGCCAGAATGTACGACCAGAAAAATAAAACTGCCTTAAAATTGTTTTCATGTTCCGAGTGGAACAGTTTAGTTGAAATATAGCACATCATAATTTGAAAAGTTGGGATGCCTAACGCACTTGCCAGGAATATCCGACGTCTAATACACGAATTTACCAGCTTTTCAAACACCTGCACCCTTTTATACTCCCATATCGGGGCAAACCCTTGGTCACACCGTTTTACAAAAGTGCTGAAATCACTCCATAGAAATGCTATGCCATGCAGCATTACGTGAAAACAGTAATGGATCGAACTTACAGCAATGTTTATCAGCAATACAAATTCCACAGATGCAATAAGAATCCTAACAAGCCATGAAGTCCAATACCCAATATTACCAAGGAAGCTGTCTCCTCGACAAAGTATTGAGCTTACTACGAGAGCTTGACATGGCAGGAAAATTACCAAGATGGCCAGCAACACCGCCAATATTGTTGCAGTTAGGGCAACCGCGGATAACAAGAGTCTGATACACAGTGTGATCTTTGACTTCCTAAGAGAGCCTGGAATAATTACAAAATTCTTCTCTTTAGGTATGCAAATTTTCCATTGTTAATTTCCTATCTAATTAATGTGTCATTATTTTATTAATCTTTAACCACAAAAATCCTACCATTATTTGCGTTACTTGAAGCAAACATCAAATTGATAAGTTGCGCCGCTACAGAATCCACTGGGACATCGAACCTTACCATGAATGCGATCGCATACACCAATGCCCCTGTCGTAGCTTGCGCTTTATCCAGGATGTTAGAATGCAGACTCATCGAATAGAGACGACCAAACATCGCCAGAAAATGGGCAAGTAGCGAAACCATGACATATTTTTGCTGCTTTGCCGATTTTATGACTATCTTCCCCCTCTCAGTGTCCCACTGGACGGGTAAGCAATATCTTCCGTAGCGAAGGTTGCGCTTTAGAAGGTTTACATCTTCTGTTCCTAACATTTTGAATTGATCAGTATGAGGTTTTTGGGGAATTACTTCGCACTTCAGTTAGGATTTGTCGAATAATTTAAATTCTTAGATCGTGGATGTGACGGTAAAATGGGTTCCCACCCCAACCAAACGACATCACAGGAAATATTAATTAATAATCTAGTCATAATAATATAATTATCATCCATGTCGTCCATGCATTTCTCCCCTAATAATATAGTATTTGTCTCTAACATACTTCTAAGCAATTTAATTAAGTTTCCGTGACTGCGATTATGGTTTCGTAAGCTACTATTAAATTATTAAGGCTATCCTTAATCCTTATCTTCGCTACGACATATCGGATATGTATGTATGTATATTTTATTGATATATGGTCTATATGTAAATAATAATCGTGCGCAGAGTAATTAACGAATTTAATTACGATTCTAAACCAACCCAAGATAACGTTTGCAAAACCTTCGTGAAGTTGAGAATTTAAAATATTTCCGTATAAAGATCGCTACCAATCTAATAGTAATGTGAATATTAATGCAGTTATATCCAAATTCACATATTCAAATAAATTTCAATTCGAACAATTCAATTCGAGTTATTATTTATTCCTTATTATTCGCAATCTCATGTTTTAAACATAAGTTATAAAAGGCATGAACAAAATAAATAAGTAATCCGGAGATGGTATATACTCATTAATTCGTCATTGAATTAATAATTAACACATTTATGCATATGAATGACTTACTTAAGATGAACTGGTGTGGCCACTCATTTTTTTTAATCCCATTGATTTAAGAATTTTTAGGAAATTAAAAATATCTTTGATTTAAGATATATTTGTGCAATATAAATAAACTGAGCAATTTAAATAAATCAAGTACTTGCCTGATTAGAATTATAACCGTACATATTTATCATAAATAAATTATGTCACAAAGCGACATTCATGAATTTTGCAACAAATAAATGTGTACTGGCAAATCCCAGGGGAAATTCAAGAATTGATCTAATTTCAAATCATAACTTTATTTAGACTGGCTGGTCAAATATTTACAGGCATATAGTTCACCGGAATTAATTAAAAAAAATATACCCTAATCTTTATCTCCTCCACCCTCCGACACCTCCATCTTTTCGATTTTGGCAGTCTGGACTTAATTTTCGGCTCTATTTCAATTCCATGCGCCTTCCGTAAGTGCAATTTGAGCGCTTTATTCTCCGCGTAGGCCTTTCCACACCCCTCCTTATCGCAGGCGAAGGGCCGCTCGCCCGTGTGCACTTGGCGGATGTGGACTTGCAGAAAGTAATTTGCATTGAAGCCCTTGTCGCAGTGGGGACATCGGCACCGGATTTTGGCGACGTATCCGGGGGTGTGGATCCGCTTAATGTGCCTTGTCAACCCGACCTTTAGTTTGAAGGCATGCTGACAGTGGGGGCAGGGGAAGGGGCGCTCGTTCAGGTGGGTCGCCCTGTGGTACAGCATGGCTCGATTAGTGAGGAAAAGGACGTCACATATCTGCCAGGATTTAAAAATCACGAGCAAAATGAATTTTATGTGTCAAAATTGCAATAAAAACAGTGGCCTCGGAAGTGGTGGGACATCAATATTGCAGATAGGTGAGATTCAAAAATGAATATTAAACAAATAACAGATCATTGGGACATTAAATAACGATTGTCCTATACAATTTGTCCCACGCTTCCGGGGCCACTGTACAAGAAATACTTATTTTGTTTCAACTTACGTCACATTTATGTCGTTTATCGCCATTGTGGCTCTTTATATGCTCCACTAATGCCGATCGTCTCAAGAAAGTAATCCCGCTACATGAGTAGGACTTTATTATTTGGGAACGATTAAGTTAACTTTAAATAAAAAAATCTTACCACTGATCGCACATAAACGGATCTGCGCCATGCTCCTTAATCCTGTGGGACGTTAGGGCTTGACGCCTCACAAACTTTTCTCCGCACGTATCGCACACCACTTTCTTGGGCCCGTGGAGTCGTTTGACGTGTTCCTTGAGACCGGTGACGAGGTCGAACTGCTTTCCACAAATGTCGCAGACGTGAACGGATCGTGGCGCATGCGCCGCTTCGACATGCTTCGCGAGACGGGCGTCGTCCTTAAATCTGGAGTCGCACACGTCGCAAACTGCAGGTTTGACATCCTCAATCTCGTGAAGTTTGATGTGGCGCTGGAAATTTTGGTCGAGGACGAACTTCTTGGCGCACTTGTCGCAGGAAACTTTCTTCTCGCCGGTCTCATGGCGAGTGACCATGTGTACGGCGAGGGCGGTTGGGAAGTGGTGCCTCCTCCCACAAATGGGGCACGGATAGGGGGAGGTTTCTGGGTGGGTGGTGCTCACGTGGGTGTTTTTCGCCTTGATGGTTTCAAATGTGGAGGGACAGCAAGGGCAAAGGTGGAGCTGATGTGGGAGGGAGGGTTTGCGAATGTTGTGAATTTTTATCTTTTTGAGGAAGTTGCTGTGTCTGAGGAATCTTGAGTTTTTCGTTTCCTGGAAAAAATAAGGGATTTTGTAAATAGTTACATTATTTAGTGATGGGAAATAAAATAACTTATGGATAATAATGCAGTGTAAACTTTTTAAATTTTGTGGAGTTCAATTTTCTACAAATTATATTTGTGTGTGCAAATTATTTGCACACATTTGCATACCGTGTGATTTTACGGCCTCGTCGTTCTTTTTTTAAGAGTCGGTCTGGAGTAATGCAAAACGCGGAGAGGTCATCGTCGTCGTCCTCAAGGTCGTCTAAAGGGTCCCTCATCTCGAGATTAGTGGGAGAGTAGGAATTATAATAGTCGAAGAAGAATTCGCCCTCATCCTCTTCAACTTGACCTCGTCAACCAAGTCATTTGCCTGCTCTTCAACCTTGACGTCTACATGGTCGTCCATCGTCCCTGATAATCTGCAGAATTAAAAGAAATTGTTGAGTAAAATATTTCAATTTGCAAATGATTTGTATTTAATATTATTATCACAAAATAAATGTTTTTAAACATTTATTTTATACTGGTGAAAATCGAAGGGTGGTAACCAAAGTGGTTATTTAAAACGGTTTAATTTACCAATAAATAATTAACAATTTATCTCACACCACTGCAGTAGAATCCCAATTAATTAATTGACAAAAACAAGAAGTTAATTTAATAAAATTCTTTTACAAAAAAGGACTCTTAGGTTCGGAATCGCGATAAAAAGAGGAAAACAAGTTTATAATGGATAACAACTTTACCTTAGTATCTACTATAATTTGCGATCCCTGCACTATTTACTGAACCGCGGGCCATTT